CCAGCAACAGATCATTTATAATAGTCAGCCAGCGATATATCACTATAGCAATGATCTATTGCTTCAGAAAGATGTTGGACAGAACAGCCTCTGTACTGAAATGTAGTGCTCTGATGTATAATTTTAAAACTGCATTTGGGAATTATGGGTAATAGATATGTATGCACTTCTGTATTGCCTTCCCTGGTCCATTCCTATCCTGGTCCATTCCTATCCTGGTCCATTCCTTTGCTGGTACAATTTGCTTGCAGAGCAAGTCCAAGAAATTTGTTCTAAAGTTTTTTATATTATTATGTTAAGCACCTGGAATGTGTTTAGCTAATTAAAACTGAATGTTCAATTTGGCTTTTAAATGCACATTACCCATGAAGAGATTTTTGTGTCAACTTTTAAGTACTACTTGTATTTTGTTGAGGAAATTGATGGCAGGAAAAAAGTTGACGGGGGTTATAATCGTTTCTTAGGCTATCCAAAACAAAGAAAAATGGCTTCAGTTCTACTTTTAGGTTATATGCTTTATTTTTCTATATAGCATGTTTTTTGTTTGTTTCTTACAGGCACCTTCAATGTCCCTGTCCCGGTCAAACAGTAGAGAACAGCTGGGCAATAGCAGTGACTGTGATAACTGGAGGGAAAGGAATTGTATTGACTCATCTCATAATGACTACTCGTCATCTATTGGCAGTCCTAAGCGAAAGCAAAATAAATCTGGTAAGTGTTTATTTAAACCTACAAGAACAATACAGTATTTTAGAACTGGGTTTTGTTTTCTTATTTAAGGGTTATTTAGTGCATAAAACCAGGGAAGTTGGGCTTTAATTCAAGTTTGTGTTTAAATTAGCATGGGTAAAAAAAAAAAAAATTCCCTCCAGGATATAAACTGGTGACAAGTCACTGCACTGTAAGTTATATCCAAGAAGAAAGGAGAACTGCTCCATTTTTTTTTAAATCTGGGCAGATGTATTTGGCTCAACCTGACCCTTCCTGCCCTAACAACCACTCTTACTGTTCAAAACATTCCAAGATGCTTAGAAGAAAAAAATTATTCAATCAGATATCACATTAGACATTTTCTCAAGCTGTCCATTCTCTGGAATACTTGTCCTCTTAGACTAGCCTCTAACTAAAATGTTTGTGATCCCTCAAAACAGTTGTCTTTAAAATTGCCTGTCCATTGTCTTCTCCACCCTAGTCATGCTGATAAACTCTCTGCCATCTCCCTCACCAATTGTATGTAATGTTCCCCCACCCCTCCTGCTTTGCATTGTTTCTGTACATGTTTTGATTGCATTTCTAAATTATGTCTTGTTAACTGATGCCAGACGCAGCAAAATATCTTCATGCTTTTTAAATCAAGATAACAAGCTGCATTTTCTTTTCTTTTTGGGTAGAACGTTTATGAATAATTGGTCTTTAGGCACCTGTCTATACTTTTATGTTTTGGCATGACACAGTCAGAAGCTAGTCCTTTTTTAAATCAATGTTTTCATATTGCACAACCCTTCATTGGAATTGTGAATCTATACAAGGACATGACCTTAATTATGTAGTCTTCTTCCCTGAACAGTTCTTTAATTTTACCATTACAAAATGTTCTAATGACTGGTCAACTAAGTCTGCAGAACTACACCTTTGTTGATTCTTAGAGTCCTTGATGGCATATGTGTAGTTTGTTCCCACTAAGCAAAAAACTGGTTTGGTGGATTATAATAGAGGCCTATTTAAAGAATACTATTTTTAAAATCCGTTCCCTTTTTTTTTTTAATCACATACACATTTCTTGATTTTTTGGAGATTTATAAACATCCTGGAGACTTGTGAAATAGTGGCAAAATGCAGAATAGTGTAAATAGTAAAGTCCTTATAAACAGGTTCTGTGTGACTCCTGGAGTGCAAGTTAAATTAAAGTAGTTGAGAGCTACATGTGGCCCACAATTTATTGGTAGATAAACGCTGTATAAAAATGTAGTAACTTTTTTATTTTATCTAATTCACAGCAGAACACTACCTTAGCAGCAGTAATTACATGGACTGTATCTCCTCTCTAACTGGAAGCAATGGTTGCAACTTAAATAATTCATTCAAAGGCTCTGACCTTCCTGAACTGTTCAGCAAGCTTGGACTCGGGAAATATACAGACATCTTTCAGCAGCAAGAGGTCAGTGAGTGTAGTATTGTTTTTAATTTACCGATTGTGGATGTAAATGCATTAACATCTTCACTGGTCCCTGTCCCGTGCTTGGAGGACTTTAAAGTTTTCTTTTTAGAGGCTGCACAAAGCTTCCTGTCCAGACTGTTTTTTTTCAGCAACTTTAATAATCGATGGTTCTAAAAACTGAAAACTTATTTTACTTCAAACTTCTTCTTTTTTTTTTTTTTCCTCCTAACAAAAGATCTGAGAAAAAAATGTCTAATGGGCTTTGCTTTACTTAAATTTTGGACCAAAATGGTTAGATTTAGTGACAGGATGACCTTATTTAAACATGATTTTTTTTTTTTTTTGTAACCATTGCCAACTATACCCAAGTATAACGTTATAAGCTGGATATTTGAGCTGAGAACGATCTACTCACACCACATAAGACTTATAACTATGATGTCATAGTGAGCAAATTAGATTGCAAATGATGCTTAGGTTCAGCATTGAGCTTGATAAAACTTTTCTAGGCTAGTTCACTCACCTCTGGGGTGCCTCCCCTAGGCAACCCAGCCTTTCCAGTCTAGTTTACTCTTCTGTTAGTATACTCTTCTAAAATTATCTTGAAATGATTTTAAATCAGTAATTTTGTTGCTGAAATACCTGCAATCTATTATGACATATTAACAAGAACATTATTTCCTTTGCTCTAGATTGATCTACAGACTTTCCTTACGCTGACAGATCAGGATTTAAAAGAACTGGGAATAACCACGTTTGGTGCAAGAAGGAAAATGTTGCTTGCCATCTCAGGTATAAAAGAAAATGAAATGACATGCATTATTTGAATGCAGGACGGGAGACCAATTAGTTGTGGACCGTGGGCTGGGGACATGCAGTCTCCATTACTCATTAAGATGATTGATGTTAGCAAGCTATGGGACCCCCCCCCCCCCCAGTAGTATGGGTATACCTGATACTCCTACTCTTAAGATTCTTCTACCCCCTCTTTTCATGCTATACTTTCTTAGGGGCCATTCCCTTATCCTCTTTATCCTCTGTTAATGGTCTTTAACTGGTTCACCTATAGGAAGTGCAGTCCTGCTTAACTACACAGCTGCCACACCTGCTGTTTTTGTGATACACGACTAAAGGTGGCCACACAACTTACGATCGTACGATAATCGCAGGAAATCCTGCGACCGTACGATTATCGTAAGGTGTGTGGGAGCTGTGCGACCTCTGCTACTGTAAGGTCGCACGACTTTTAGCTTAGGAACATGTTCGGAAACCCGCCGAGAATCGTACGATTTTCGGCAGGTATGTAGCATGTTCGTAAGATAAAAGCCAAACGGGCCGGTGTGTGCAAGCGCACACTGCCCGTTCGGCATTGCGGTTATCGGAAGCCCACCCCTCAGTGTGGCGGGCTTGCGATCATCGCAAGTACGATCTGCCTGTCCAAGATAGGCAGATCGTACGTTTTTTTAATTACCTTACAACCATCGCAAGACAAATGTTTTGCGATGGTTGTAAGGTGTGTGCCCAGCCTAAGACTGTAACGCCTCCCTGCCCTATGATTGCCCATTCATTCACTATGTAGTTACATTCTCTGTGATCTCATTGTTGTAACAATGATCTACTGTAATGATGCAATGTGAACCATTTTCTTTACTATGTATGTTATTTACAAAATTTCAATTAACATATTGAGACAGAAATGGCATGCATCAGGCAGCATCCTGTACAATACATATATCCCTCACCATAGCATACCAGTAGAATTCTGCAGGGTTGTAGTTACTGTGGAAGCCAGAGGTATGAAGTGTCTTTAAGGAATACAATGATCAGTTATTTCCTTTTTGCATTCAGTTCTGCTTCTCTAATTAGCATGTTGCCATCGCCTGCCCATTTGCTTTAGTTGTTGATCTTGAAGATTGAACAGCTCTTTTGTGTGGCTTCAGGTTGATTATTTCATGGTGCGCTTAAGAAATTAATGTCAATAGTATATTAAGCCACTTTTACAGGAAGCCTCTCTATTAAGTGTCAGGTCAGATCAAGTTCAAGTTACTTGTCTGTCATTTACATTATTAGTTTATTAAGTTACCCCTTTAAATATCAAATTTAAGTGTTAAAACCATGCAGTGCTATCGGATAAAGCCGTTAATTGACCTTTGTCTTTGCTTTATAAGAGGGTATTTTTAAATAAACATTGTAAATACTGGTTTATTGACCAAAAAGATTGAAGTTAGTTGATCCGGAAATACAAACCTGCCATTTCTAGGTTGTTTTGTAGGACTTGCTGGCTTCTTAAAGCAGAATACAGCTGTCGCCTATATATGCCTTTTCCTGCAGTCTTTTAGTAGGTCATTAAGTCACATGAGCTTTCTTTTCTTCTTCCATGGCAGTTTGGGGGGGGGGCAGGTATTCCTCCTAGACTGATCATGTCATGATGTGTGAGCTCCGCTCAGTCCTTGAGTACTATAAACCCAGACTGTGTGATGACACACCTCTCAGGGCGGTGTTGTCACTAATAGGATGGGCTCACAGGTAATGGGCAGGATGATGTGACTGTACTGACCAAAGAGATCCAGTGGGCGCAAACCGGTGGGAGTGAAGGAAGAAGCTGGGGACAGAGTTAAAAAAAATAAATAGCAGCAACATAACTGTAGGTGTCTATACATAGTAAAACCACTTCAAAACTGCCCTGCACTGGAGTACCCTAGGAGCCCGCCTAATTTTTTTATGCAAATTTAAGCCAACCGCATAGTTTGAGAACATTAACACCTTTCCCCATTTCCTAGGGGGGCTGTTCCAGCCTCTGGCTAGGATGATGAACCTTAGAGAATTGCATTGAGAGCAGGGTGCTCAAAGGTAAAATCTGACATGGGTAGATCTAATCTTTGGATCCCAAATAAAATCACACTTCGATGACTATCTGACTAGATATCCATTTTAGCAGCACCCATTTTTATAGTCTTACCGCTCTACTTTTGTGTTACAGCCATTTTCCTCAAAGTCTCAATATGACAGTGCCACCCAGTAGGCATCAGAGTTAGACCAAGCACACTCTGTAATTAGCACTCAGTTAATGAACTAGTTTGACCCTCACCCCACCCTCTTTTTTTCTCTGCTTGTGATTATTATTATACAGGATTTATACAGCGCCAACAGTTTGCGCAGCGCTTTATGTAATAAGGGTTATGGCTGTTGTTCAGCTGTGCAAGCACAGAAGGGGCAGGAAGCAGAATTTCTTAAAGTACATGGTAATTTAGGGCATTTCCAAGCAAAAATCAGTCATCAGAACACTGAGTCCAAGGCTATAAAGAGATAAAAAGGTGCGGGGCTTTAATTGTGTTTTAATTCCACTGCAAACGATTCCTGCGGTTTTTGAGCGTGTGTGATGTTTGCTATGGATAAAGCTAATATGTTTGGTGTTTTTTTTGTAACAGAGCTGAACAAAAATCGGAGAAAGCTGTTTGAGCCAACCAATATCCGTTCTGCATTCCTGGAAGGAGGAGCTAGTGGACGACTTCCGCGCCAGTATCACGCAGACATAGCCAGTGTCAGTGGACGTTGGTAGCAGTCAGCATCATGACTTGGCAATAAATGCTTAGAACATCATGGCTGACCTGTGAAACGGTATCGCTGCATATTCTTTTTACCATCAGCACTTTAGTGTCAAGGTACCACGGACCAAAGCAATAAGATCACACGAGTGCCTAGTTCTTTGGACACTTTTGTGTAAAACGCCAAAATGCGGGATATATATATTTCATCTATGTAGACTGGACCGAACTGCAATAGGGGAAAAAGAAAAAAAAAAGTTGAGTGATTTTATGTTTTAGTATTTTATGTATAACTTCATTGTATGCACTGAAATTTTTACTTTTATTGAATGAAGAATGAATCTGTCTGATATTTGAGGGCATGACTATGGTTTTATTGTGAAGGAATTTTCTAGTACTCAATAATAATCAAGATGTTTCTGCACTTTACATGCTCCCCATATTGTCTCCTGTGGAAATTTCATGTCCTCTCCCTTCCATGCAAAACACACTGCGGTCTGGTTTATAAAAACAACAAAAATTTAAATTAATGTGCTACAAATAGCAATAAGATTTCCTGCTTGATTTTCCCAGTGTAGATCAGAAAGCTTAAAATTGGATCGGAGCAAGCAACACTAGTTTTCAATTCTTCCAGTTTCTATAAACCAATCCCAGTTTGTTCTTTCTAATCAAGTCATAGCCCGGTGCATATACAGTAGCTACCATTTCATCATCTGTAAGTATTGTAAAATATTTGAACTATGCAGATGTTATGCTCTGGAAACTGGCAACCATTTACAGGAATCTTATTACTGCTCGATAAGATGTTTTTTGTTTAATTCTGTTATTTAATATTTCACAAACGCTTACAATGAAACAAGTTCACTGTAACAGATGAAAAGACCAGTGTGGACTTTGTAGTTTAGTTTTCCTTTGCACCTCTCCCCATAACATCAAAGAGATATAAAAAGCAGGAGATGAATTATGCAAAATATTACATTTATTTATATACAGGACATGGTTATATCAATTCTTCTGTCATTTAAAGATTTAGGTCTTAGTACTTTTCAGGCCTGAGAATTGCATCAACAATACAAGCAGCTGTGTCGGTTAACATTTTAGCTCTATATTAGGGATAAATACATCTCGCATACTGATAATGGAAGGTGAATTCTGTTCATTGATTTCTGAAATTGTCTTATCATATGCATCTATTGTTGTAGCCAATGTTATACTGTGAAAAATAAGTATGGAGTGTTATGCTAAACGCCACAATGGGAGGATATGAGGACAGGCATACGGCAGTCTGGTTACCATGCGACTGCATTTTCTGCAATTCAAGCACTTTGTGGACCACCTATAACAATGTGCTTTACCAGCATTATGGCACACTGTGCGTTCCTGACCTCACCGTGTACTAGGCATACAGTGACCTAACGATGAATTAAACATTGCATTGTCTGCAGTAAGATAAACCATTGGTTGAACACAGCCATATGGTAACAAAACTGACAAACATGTATGTGCGTTCCTAGAAGCCTTGGCTACACAAGCAAATTTTGGGTGCGCTATTGAAAATTGCCTATGAAGGTTACAATGAAGTCCCTAAAGAGTAAGCTACATAGGAGCAAAAATAATTAATCATGTACATGCATACACTAAAACAAAAGTGTTACATTTATGCTTGCAGTGCCTGCTTCATTCTTTATATTATTTGTAGCAGACGATTGGGGCCACTTTTGTTTTTTAACTGCACAGTAGCGCTACCGAAAATCTCATGTAGCCAAGTTGTAAAGGTGTGACTTGAACCTTAGAAGTTATCACATGTTGCCTTGTTTTCATAAGTGTCTCCAGAAGAAGTTATCTGATTACTTTTCCATCTTCCAACTATAGATTTGCATGTACTGTAAAATCTGCTTCTAGACTGGTCACATGTCTTGTTTACAATTAGGAAATCATTAAAGCACAGCAGGGCCGATGTATAGAATTTGGGAGAAAAGAAAAAGATGTCTTGTTCATATTGACTAACCAGGATAGAAAACATTGGTTAAAACGGCTTTGGTTGATTTAGACAGCACCACCCTTTTCCTTTTTACGTGGTGATCCTAAACTCAGGCGTTAAAGCTTACAAATGCATTAAAGTACCTTTAACCATTAACAAAAATGTATCTTATTTGTGTATCACTCAGCTGTAGATCCTCAAATCCTCTCTGAATTCATACTGACACTGTCCTTCCTTCTGGAGGGTGGCTACTTTTCTTGGTCCCTGTGTGTGTGGTCCCTGTGTGTGTTGTAAAGTAGCCACCGCTCCAAGCTCACTCACGCGATGGGCTATAATCTCAATTCAACTAACATGACATTATAGTAGATAATGGGAGTGAGCTTGGAGCGGTGGCTAGTTTACAGCACACAGGGACCATGGGGAACAAAAGTAGCCACCCTCCAGAAGGAAGGACAGTGTCATCATGAATTCAGAGATGATTTAAGGATCTACAGCTGAGTGATACACAAATAAGATACTTTGTGTTAATAGTTAAGGTGCTTTAATGTATTTTTAAGATTTATCTCTTGAGTTTAGTGTCACTTTAACAAAAAATGCTAATGTCCATCACTACAACAGCAGGGAAACCTACCTAGACCCGTGCCTTGACTGTCTCACCATAGGAGTCTGAAAACATGGCATGGTGAACAGCTATTCTGTAATGCTCATTAAACATTTTGCTTTCCTGATTAAATTGCCACACAGCTATTTGCACACAAAGGGAATGATTGTTTGAGGTATCTTTATAAATAAATATATGTTTTCATTTGCTGCACCAATTTACGTGTGGGCATAGGCAATGCAGCTCTAAAAATAACTATTTTTTCATAATTCACTATCTTTTGAATGGTGGTTTGGGAGCTTTGCACACTATATTAATGAACCACTTTTTATACAAATTTGTGGAGTTACATACTTGTAAGACGTTGAATGCCACAGTTTTCTTATTTGAACCCCACATTTTTAAACACCTGGGTACAACAACTTTACTATAATTTTTTTATAGATTGTTTCCTTCTATGTAGTATGTTTAGATTGTGTTTGACTTGTTTTGATTATAGTTTTAAATGACAGGGTGTGGCACAGGAATTTTTTTTTAAATCATCACAAAGGTACTGCAAGAGTAATCAGAAGACTTCATATGTACTATAAATACATATTCTAGAGAATCGTTTTTTTATGTATCTTATAACAGGACGACACAAAATGACAGTGTTGTTGGTCAGTGCATTGCACACACAAATAAAGTTGATAAATCCAAATATTTGTTACTTTTACAATGTGCCTTGAGAGTGACACGTTATCTGTAAATGTAGAGCAGATACAGATTGTATTTCATTTCGGGGGCAAAAACTTGTTTTGTTTTTTTTTTACTTTTTTAATTAAATGTTGAATGAGACCATTAAATGGAATTTTAACTAATCATGTGTTATGTTCAAGAAAATAAATTTATAACCCCCAATTTGCGTTGTTTTCATTTATTTGCTGTGAGCCACTATGTTACCCAATCGTATTTGGCTTCTAAAACTTTCCTTTTTTGGCATTTTGAGGTGGTGTAATAGTGATAGAGGTCTCGGGGTAAAAATGTGAATGTCTACAGATGTCTGCACAAACTAGTTACGTGCAACAACCCTATCAAAGCATTTCTTATGTGCACGAAAACGAAGAGCTCACAATTGTTACATTTATAAAAATATATTATTTTTTTTCTTTAATCCATTTTTAAAAGATTTTATGGTACATCTTCCCATCCTGAAAAATATTCCTAGCTCCCCACTGCAGTTCTAGCAATGAATATAAATATCAAATGTATCCACATACCTTTTTGGAATGTTGTGACATACTCAGATGATTCAGTTTGATGATGGGTGGATCATGCAATCCATTATCCTAATATAGAGATCCTCCCACATTTTTATATGTCAAACTTTATAATGTAAGTTTGACTGTCTACTCATTTTCCATTCAATGCAATGTATGGCTAAATAAGTTTTATATTTTGGTGATAAGGTGGCTGTGACCACACATCCTGTTTTAAAGGTGGTTCCTGCTGCTTTGGGATTACACATTTAAATATTCCCAACCTGCAGGCAGCACCAGCATACATTTTAGATTGTCTATATTTGTATATTTTACTATTTTTTTTATTACAGGCATTAATATCGTGCTTCATGTCTTCTGATGCATAGTAAATCTTAAATCCTTATAAAATCATTGCTCTACTTTTTCTTTTGCAGTTTTCTTGGTCCTGCTGCTAAATTTAGCTGTTCTGATGCTTGTTTCATCAGGCTGTAGAAGTTTGGCATGGAAGAATGTGATAACTGTCTTGAGTGTAGTGTTTATCTACAACTCCACTCCTTTGGCCATAAATAATGCCCGAATTAATATTGTATAAAATTCATAGTGATCTAAAATGTTTTCACTGATATACTTTCTGTTGAAAATGTTACTAAGTTGTTTTAACTTTTTTCAAAATATGACAATCGGATGATGATCCAAATCATCTTTCTAAACGGGCAAAACTGCTGGAATCTTTCTTTTCTATAAAGATGAAAAAAAACTGCGGAGTTCAAGTAACTTTTGTTTTATGTGACTTGGGGGCTAGGTCTTTTATTTGAGCTACCTACACTTGCATTTTGCAAAAACTTGATGCAATCTTAAAAAACTGAGAACTTTATGTACAGATGCAGAGCAAGAGTGTTTTTTGTTGCTGTTTTGGTGGATTTGTATTATTCATTAGCCTATAATATATCTGCACTTAAGCAACAGAAGATCTTGGGCTCTGACCTGGCATATTTGTGAAGATCTAAGTTTAGTAAATCCTTTTTAAGCCATCTTAGATTTGTAAAATTGTCAAAATTCCTTAGTGTTTGTGTATATATAGTATTGCACTGATTTAGGTTTCAGTTCTTTGATTTTTGTATTTTTTTTGTATCCGTCCATAAGCAAACCCCTTAAATATTGGTAAAGGTTTGCTAAAGCCCACTGTATATCAATGTTGGACTAGGTGTATACTCCGTGTGTGCAAACTGTTTTTCATTGTTCATTTGGAAAGCTTAATAACTTACTGTTGAGCTAAATTTACACAATCATATTCAATTTCATTTTAAATAGTATTGCCTTGACAGAATAGACAAACCAAAGAATGTAGTTTTGTACTTTGACCAGTTTTGAAACTGGTGTTACTGTAGATTGGAAAATATGCTTTTTGTCAGGGTTTCCATGTTTTAAATAAATCTTGGGAAAATAATAGCACTAAAAAAAGTCTTTCATATCCCTCACAAATATATGCATCACTTTCATATCCTAAAGAATGACAAAACATTTGTCAAATTAATAGCCTATAGGTATAGCTAAGTGGTTAATGCTGATTTCTGTCCAACCATCCTTGTGATTTAAACACATCTGCCATGCCACACAGCAGGCACCTTAAAGGGGATTGAGGTTTTTTTTTTAATCTCTGCCATTTCTTATGACACCTCTCTGCTTTCAGCCCCCTTAATGGACAATGAACTGCAGGCAATGCCAACTTGAGGCGGATGTTTGTCTTTGAAAAATAGTGTGGATTCAGATTTTAAAACAGTATGGTGTTGCCTTTCACCACATGGCTACCTGTGAAAGCTTTTCTAGGTTGACTGATGGAGCTAATGTGGGTAAATTACAAGAAATAATCAAATGAATTGGAATGTCCGAATGGCATTCACAAGGGTGAAAATATTGGTGTGCTATTGCCAAATTTTTTATTGATACCAGACAATGATCCACAAACAAAGCCTTTGTAACCACCCATAATTGCATACCATTTACTTTGTATCATTATATTAGAAGACCACCCAAGCTTATACATATTTGTTCTATATTTTGTAATGTTATGTAAAACAATCGTATCTGCCTCTTGGAATTGAATACCACATTTTCATTTAACAAATCCACTGTTCTATTAAAACACATGCAAACCACACTAACCACCATAAAGAGTTTCTTGTAGCCATTATAAAAGACAAAATACCAACATTTTATGAAACTAAGGCCTCACACCCAAGGGCACTGTTTAACGTTCACTGGTAAATACTGGATTCAGCTAGCAGCTTTCAAGTGCTCAATGCAGACCTTAGCAGGAGTCCTGGTTGTTGCTCTAAACAAGTTTTTGCAGACTTTTAGCAAGCTTCAGCAGTGTTGGTTGCTGCTGCTGCCGCCGCCAATATGTACAGCCTTTTTCTGCACTTTCCCTAAGTTACTCACAGCCACTGCAACACCTAACAGCAGCTATCTAAATTAGTTTTTAGTAGAGCCGCAGTAGAGCCTTGGCTGACTGTACCTGGACCCCGCCAGAAAGAAGATGCAGTGGCTTGTCTATGATGTGGTGAGGGTGCTGAATCCTGCGTAGGACTTTGTGCAGCATGTCAGTTGCTGCAGAATGCTTTAGAGTTCCATGGCCCATTGTGGTGAAGCCCGGTCCCTAAATACCCCCTCTGGGGGTATGCCCACTGGGAGGCCAAAGGCTTAAACGCTAGGCTGTGAGGCTTCGGTCTAACAATGGTTCTGGCCCTTCTGGAGACACTGATTCTGCTAGCCCTATGCCATGCTTGTTCTCCTCCTTCATTCCCTGTCTCACGGTCCTCCTCAATACCCTCCAGGGCATCTTCCTCTGCTCTGACTTGGGAGGAATCCATTATTATGGAAGATGTTCGGTTTATGGGAAATATGTATTTTCTCCTATAGTCCTCAGATCATGGGATGTAAACTGGGCCTCTCTCCTTTCCCTTTAAAGTCGTCTTTGGTCTACGTATGCACTCCCTGAGGAAGAATTTGGAAAAAAGAGGCTGCTTCAAGTTCTGTTGATTCCACCCTAGGAAGAGGATCTGTCTCCTGACATCCCTTCCAAACTCAGAGACACCTTTCCCTTCCTTGTAGACGTAATGCATGATTGCTTACAGTTAGTTGCCTGCGTCGACGTTACCATATGTCACTAGTCTGGGTTCTCTAAAAATGCCCAAACCTGCCAATGGTGTGCAGTCACCCGAAGATAGCTACATAGCCCATCTGTTGAAGAATTCCAAGTATGACAGAATCCTTTCTTTAAAAAAAAAACCCAGTAGTTTAGGTTACTTAATTTTGACCAGCCTCCTGTGGTCTACTTGCATAATCTCTACAGCAGAGTTTGGGGGGGGGGAGAAGAAGCAGCACGAGGCGCATACTTATTATGCCAAGGAGAGAGCAGTGTAACAGCTAATGTCCTTTCACTAGATTTAATTTCCCCTCCTGCCATCCTTGTACTTATATCATAGTTCCTGCTTACATACAAAGAATGTATACAGACTGGGAATAACTATAGTTTTAAAATGTGATCTTGGCTAAAACAAAGTGAATGCTTTATCACAAAGTCTATTGTGCATTGCTGATGTGACCTCTGCTTAAGTTATAGAATTCATTGTGCAGTCCCCTGAGCAGAATGATGTCAAGACAATATCCAATAATACGATCAAAAGCCTGAGTTATTTTGATGGATTCAATCCCCCTAGTGCTACAAGAAATTAATGTTAACTTTGAAACCACTGCACTTTTGTATTCAGTGATAATCTGTCTCACAAAAAGATGTTTTTATGAAGTTCGATATTAAAGGAAAATCCTTTGTGGACATCATGTAATATTCTCTTTTGTCACTTTTACTTAATTCTCTATCAGCATTTAAAGTGTTGTCTTTGAGATTTGAAACTTTGCAGTCTAGTTTTCTTTCTTTGGGAAGAACAATTTTTTATAGTTTACACTCAGTGTATTTGTACTCCATGTAATGTACATTATACTCAATTGTACAAGTTCACCTTGTTTGCAAAACTTTCTCTGTTATAAATAAATAGTCCAGCCCTAGAAAAATTATAATAAAAAAATAAATACAACTGCATTCACTTGAATACACTGAAATACAAAGCTGTTCACGCTGCTCCCTGTGGTCCAGTGTCAGGTGACTTCCGCCTTATATGTCTCTTATGTCATCCAAAATATTTCATTTGAGCCTAGGCCAGGGGTCTCAAAGTACCAGCCTGCGAACTTGTACCATGCAGCCTGGAACTGGCTGACAAATCAGACATGCCGTTGTGGACCAGTCTTGGGGGAGCAGCTGCATGTTCTGCATTTCTGTTTGATGCAGACCGTATGGCTGCTCCTCGTGGTGCCAGCGCTCATTGAAAGTCAGAGGGCAGCGTGTGACTGTGACTATGCCAGCCTTCACTGAACGCCGGCCGAAAGGAAGGATTTGTAAGGTCTGCACCAGCCAAAGGTGCAGACCATACTATTCCCCCACTGGACCACCAGGGAATGTGCCCCCTCCCTGCAAAAAATGTACAGAGGAGGGGGCAGTTTCCTTTGTTGTATGATGGTGTGTATGTCCGTGTGTTTGAGTGTGTGTGGTGTATTATTGTGTGTGTATTTCTGTGTGTGAGTGAATGTGTAAATCTGTTGGTCCTCTATGATTAAGATTGTTTTTGCCCACAGGTTTTACACACACCACACACCACACATGATGCACAGAAAAACATTCACACATATTGACATCACTCACAGAACTCCTGACAATACACATGCCATCACACAAAAAAATATACTGACATTGTTAATAAACCATCCTAAACACATATCGACATGATAAACAAAGGCAGACATTAACACTGGTACCGTATATAGTTACATTTTGTTTTGATCACAATTTAGCTTTGTTTTCAACTGCTTTCTTAACAGAATATAATAGGAAATGTGGCTTTTTAGTTAGCTTGGATAATACTCCATAAAATATTCAGCTTGTTACTGTCAACATATAATGTTGTTGGCTCTATGGTCTAATATGGGGGGAGAGGGTAGCTGGTTTAAAGTATCACTGACCACCAAGGTTTGTGGGATTGTTTTGCTGTGACGGTTTAAAGTGTTTTGGGTTTATCTATGACAATTAGGCATTGCACACAATGGCTAAAGTGGGCAAATGTTTGACTAATAGAACCTTAACCACCTGAATACCAGCATGTCTCCATTTCCCAAAAAATCAGGGAAACTATATTTTTTTAATCTTTTTTTTCTTTTTAGAGTAAAAATGAAAACCTATCTGTTTAAAAAGAATTGTACAAAATGAATTTGTGTAAACTATTGCATGACCAAGAAATTGTCTGTCAGACTATCCCATCACTAAAAAATGGCCTGCAAAAGAAGGGGGTGTAACATGCTGGTGGAGGTGGTTTAAAGGATAAAACAGGGAAATTTGCATTTTTGCCATTGCATTTGTCTTTAAAGAAAAAAACCAAACATTTTCTTAGTACACATTTCCTTTAAAATGTAAAGCTCAAATTTAAAGCTCACTACTTTGTGTCCAGTTAATGTGTTACAATGAGCAAAGTAAAGTTACAAAATTGTAACAAAGCAAAATATGAAACTTTAAAGAATAGTTGACAGCTCTATGTCTATTGCTATGCAAGGAAGCTGGAACTTTCTGCTGGGATTAGACAGAGCCCGATTGTCAACCCGACGTCAATAGGTAAATTATAACATATATACGATATTATATCAAAAAAATTAATTGCAACAACAGAAATAGACAAATGAGGTGTTAAATGTCCCCGCAATCCATATTATGCATGGGTGAAATAAGATAAACCCAAAAAGACTGGGAAAAACAACAACGTTCATATATTTGTGAAAAACTTGTGTGTAATTTTCCTGTAGTGTAACTATGCTCCCCATTCACCAGATCCCCCCCATCAAATTGCCATTAGTGAAATATATATTTTCTCTGCCAAAACGAACAAACTCCCCAACCGTAACACCAATGTATTTTTCCTTTTCCAAACTACTACACGGATCTAGCCAATATGTAGGGCTTGAGGTGGGTTTTTTTTATTAGGCAATTGTCTATCACATTGTT